TTTTCTTTTTTACGGAAGCTCCGAACAAGAAACATCACACTTAGATTTTTGTTTGTTTTTATGATACAATATTATTATTATCAGTATATTATATATATATATTTCTGTACAATCGTGTCTAGTTWATTTATTTATTCTGTTAGCCGAGTACAAAATGACGATATAATATTTATTTATGTACAATATTATTATGAATAATAATAATTATAGCGCACAACATAATAATATTATATACATTTTTTTTCTTAACAAAAGAACCGCACAATTATTATCGTGTTATGAAACCAAAAAAAAAAATTTTTTTCATAATTTAAAAAAAAAACAATTGTGTACCAATCATTCGATTGTTAATATATTATTATAAAATATATACTTTTAATGCAAATTTTGTTTATCCCCCCCCCCTTGTTATTATTATAATTTGTAATGATATTTTATAAAATGAACAATTATTATAATATTTTATGGTTCAAATTTTGAAAGTATGTTTATTTATTTCATTTCCTGATATATTTGTTCCATCATCATATTTATAAATACATCATATAATATAAAATATTGGTCAGTTATGACACATATTATTGTATTTTTATCATTTAATATTAGGTACATTTTTTTTTTTTAGAAATGTATCTACTGCTGAAATAGTTTCCTATGGCATTGACTATACAATTTCACTAATTCATACAATGTTAAACAGTACTATGGTTATTGAATACATTTTTATGATTTGTAACATGCCATGGTGGTTGATACTAACTTTTAACTTAGGACATGATGGAGATTGCAATAAAAAAATGCAGTTTTAGTTATTCATATATATGTATGTATAAATATATTATATTTTATCAGAAATAAGTTAATAAAATACTGTTAATCTCAAAATATTATTTTTGCATACATTTATAATAAACATAAATATTTGAATACAACAAATCATAAATTCAACACTTTATACAAAAATGCATCTTAAAGTGATATTATTTCTGTTTCTGAAATCATTAATTTGTACTAAATATGCGATATGATATTAAACATAAATATAGTTTTACGTTGCATCAGTTGCCAAATGATTTTTGTATATTTCTACAGATAAATATTTATTTAGTATTTTAAGTAAAACCACAGTTTATTGTTCTAGCTTTTTCACAGRCGTATGTATTATCAAGGTCTAAGGGTACAATAGTACAGTGGTAGGCAATCAGTGGCCCGCTTAAAAGTTAAAAACAATTATTTTTTCATACTAAATAATTTGAAATATAAAATTGTTATGTTTGTCTGGCCTGCAAACTCTGATTTTGTGAAAGTTGCTCGGGAATCCAAAAAGGTTGCCGACCACTGCAATAGTACATAATAAATATAATAACACTAAAGGTGGGTTGCATTAACTAACGTCCTGTAACAACTTACCGAACCGTTAACTATTAATGGTTCTGTAAGCTATTGCATACTGCGCCTKTTCGGTAACTTACCAGATTGATGAAATATTATTGTCATTGTCATTGGTGGTTTAATTAAATTGGTAATCACGGTTATCAATGATTTAATATTTCTTTATGCAACACACACTAACATAGTTTTAAAAAAATCATTAAATCTTATAGGACCGGTAAATTACAGTCAGTAACAAATTACAGACTGTTCTTTATGCAACTCACCCAAACTACTGGCACAAACTGATGACTTTTTATTACATATTAATTCTATATAATATGTATCATATTGTTTTTTTTAAATGAAGTTTCTATTAGTATCCTAACCTATGTTTGAAAAATATAATTTCATTGAGGATATTAATATATTAGTCAATTTGTCATTGTTCAGACTTATAAATTAGTTGCTTTTGCATAAAAACATTGAACTGAAATAATTTATTTCTCCTCCGTGGATACAGATCACTTTAAGATGCTCACATTAAATAATACCAAAGAACTCGATAAAATCCAATAAGGATAAAAGTTCACACTTAAAAAAAAATCGTAAAAATGCGTAATGCATTAAAGAATTGTTCAAGTGAAAATTGTCGTTTCCAAAATCAAAACAAACAACAGATATTATAAGAATCCTACATTCGTTGTATTTCAAAAAGTTTCACATCAGTATCATACCAAATGGGAGGATCGATATTTCTAAAAAAAAAACAACAAAAAACCATATGTATTTTAAGTACGTTCGTTAACATTGAATCTGAAATTTAATTTCCAACATTATTTTTTTTTATTATTTGTTATCAATACCTGAGAAATATGACAGCCCACATATACGTTCGAAACCAAGCAGTTGTTCCTGGATTAGACTGATACTTTCTGATGAGTATTGGATGAGGGACTGGTAACAATCCAACTAACGTACCATGTTGCAAGAACTTAAGTATTTCACTTTCGTCTGTCAAACCTCTATAAACAACATGTATAATATGTTCATTATCCAGTATTACAAATATCATTTAAAATATAATAGTTAATAATCCATTTTCACAGCGACTTATAAAAATATGTTTCACTTGTCGCAAGAAACAAGTGCTTATGGATTAATGATAAATAAATCATTATACTTGTCTATGCAAATTTTTTCCACTTGAGGTACTAGCACTTGCAGTAATCTCATAATTGTTTGCAGTGGCAGCTTTTCCTTCCAAGATCGCACCCATTCTGTGGTCGGAGCCCATTCAGCATCATCCTAGACAAGTGCATGCAAACAGTTAGAGGTTAAAATCGCCATATGATATGTCAACACAAAAGTATACAATAGTGTCAATGGTTTTTAATTTTCGTAATAAGTGTATTATGATAAATATTATGTAAATACTACTTGCAGATTTCTTTAAACATTAATGACAAATATCTGATACAAACTACTTATAAGTCTAATGTACTAAACACAAGAAAATTAGTTTATTATTATTTCCATGATTTACATAATTTCATCAAGCAGTWAAATATYATGCGAGAACAACAACTTACTGTTCTATAAATATTTTAAGCCATTATATTATATATTTTATGAAAAAGTTAAAAACCTTAGGCGACGATGTTGTTGGAGAGCAATCTCCTTGGTTAGAAGATTGTTTCACAATTTCCTTTGTCATGCCATTAGACGTAACCAGTTCAGCGGGTAATGTTAAATTTCCCGGATGAGCACTTTCACGTTCTGTTATTTTCATTACGCCTGGCATTCATTACGTTACACCCAGTTAGCAAAGGCAGAAATAATGCATGTTATAATTTAGTAGCACTTGAAGAGAAAATAATTAGAGTCCGGCATTGCATAGAGACATAAATTGTGATTAAATTTGTTCTCAACTTATGCATACAAATAAATTATTTTGTATTCTATTCAGCAATATTACCGATTGTTTGATTAAGTTTTACAAGTAACTACCGAATATATCAAGTACTATAATTAAATTCYATATTTTAAAAGCATATTAAGTTAGTTATATAATATTAAATTTTAGGATGCATAATTTCAAAACTTGAGCCTCTCAATATTTATTTAAGTCCAGACTCTAGTTATAAAATGGTTACATGGTTAGTTAATTGCAAACAGTTTTCTTACCAGGCGTATCGGGGAGTGTGGCATTGAGAGTTCCAGGCTCTGCGGGCAATGCAGGTGTAGATCCTTCCATACTCGGTGTTTCAGTAGCCGCTGTTAGACAAACAGAGTTAGTTGCTTGCATATTTCTCTTAGCTTTTTTGGTCAGCGATTTGATAATTGCACTGTAATCAGTTGGCAAGTTTGCTAAATTATGAAAAACTTGTCTCTTGCGTATAATTGTATACACTAAATTTGAATTACCTAAAATAAAACAAGATTAACATATTAATCTAATGTGAGGCACTAACTACTAACCATCAAATTGATATTGTATGATATTATTGAAAATCTCCAACAAGAAAAAAGCAAGATGGTTGGCAGATGGGGAAGAAAACAAAAACCATGGAGTTGTAAATGCATCCACCAAATGCAAAAGCTTTGTACTCGATACCATTGACAGAGTTTTTAAATACGGAGACACTGTAACAGAAACATTACACAAATTATTCATAAATAATTGTAAAGCTAAAGCTATCCAATCATAAATTTGATAATTGAGTTATTATTTGTCAAATAATAACTTTTTTTTCTATATCTAATGTAATATTTAAGAACATTTTAGTGCATATTTTTTTGTTCTCAGATATGTAATTATGATACTATAATTATTGACTACAGACCATTCACTAGAATCGTCAGGAGACAGTCAAATAGCGGTTGCATTCTATTATGTCCAGTTGTGATTATCTTATGAAACACAATAATAAGAAGATCTGCATGTGTACCACTGAATACTGGAATGTCCATGGGTATTGTTGCAGTGTATGGCTTGTTTAGACGTACTCCAAAATTCCTCTCACCACTAAGTAATAATAAAATAAATACGCCAATGTGCATAAGACCAATTCGAGCTGAAAAATAAAATTGCTAAAATGTTGAACTAAAATATTAAGCAATTCAATATTTTTGTAGTTACTTACACTGATCTGCTCTGGAATCATTTAAATGGTACAAAATTGGTACTAAAACATCAAGGACATCACTACTTTTGAGTACAAAATATAGAAATTTCTGTATTAAGTAAACAGTAGATTAGTTTAAACTATTTCACAATAAATCAAGATAACCAAAAAAGTTACTTTATTAAATTCGCATATTTTCCAAAAGAATATCAACAGTTCTTGGTGGAATTGCACTTTTTTGGTGGAATGTGGAAGATAAGTCTGTCGCAAAGGGTTCATTAACAACCTTGTAAATCCACTCAAAATAAATGAAAAATCTTCATCTCGATGAACTCTTGATAAATAATTGATAAATAAATTGTCTATGGCTGCTTCATCATTCTACAACAAATACAGTAAAATAAATATATAAAATACAATGCATAATTTATTAATCATATACCTGTTGCACATCTGAATCCAAAGCAACAATAATGATTTGTAGGCACATATCAACTAATGGTTCAGACGTGTCAGCAAATAGAAGATGATTGTATGGAACACCCATACCAATAGGATCATAACCACACACAGTGTTCAAAAGAGATGTAAGCATAGGCAATGCATGTCGATTTTCGGCTGAGGTTACATACTGTACCCATCTATTACCATCTAAAATGTATATATTTGTATTGAAAATGGAACTCACATCAAAATACTGAATGATATTTTTTTTAAAGAACACCATACTTTAATTTGTTATTTTTGTCTTACAAGTGCATAACATGGCAAATTCACATTCAGCGATTTATATGTAGCCTCCTTAATTTTTATATTAGAGTTAATTTATTACACAACTATTCAAACGTAAAGGTAACAATTTTGTTAATATGTTAAATTAATAGGGTTTTACTAACATTTTTTTATTATCAAGCAAGTATGATTTTTTTAAGCTATACTATTGCTTCATACATTAAACAATTTTAATTATTTTGTRTCATTAAAACATTCACCAATAGCATTACATGAATACTTAAACATGTATATTTGCAATATTAATGAATAATGAAGTTGTAAGATGGAGATTACAAATATGAGTGTAKAATTCTAATAAAATACTTTACTTTGATGAGGTGAATAAATAGCTTGACTGAAACATGTCAACAGTAAACGCAGGAGTTCGGTGCGATTTGATTCAAAAGTTGCATTTTTTACAGGAGATTGTGCAAAACCCACTCCTTTTTCCCAAATGTATTCACAGCTATCTACGGCATGTAAATCTTCTGCTTTATCCTAAAATAATAAGTCATGTGATTATTAAAATCAAAACTAAAATTAATAAACTTACTTATTATTTTTAAACATACATTTTAAATTGAAAACTTAAACTTAAGTAATAAGTATACAAAAGTAAGAAGAGCATGATTTTTTGATTTAGGTTTACTTTGATATTATATATTATACTGATTCCGGGTTGCATATAAAATGTATTAATTTAATGATTCAATTAAATTTAATGGATCAATCAAGGCCCACTATATCATGTTTAAGAGCCATTTAGCTCATTAATGATTTGTTAAATGTTTAGAGGTTGTTCATACAACTCGACATAAGTAAAACTATTTTAGAGACAACTAGGAATTGTTTAACATAATATTATGTTAGATATTATGATGGATTTTGATCCTGTTGTGTACRATATTTTTCCAATTTAACTGAAACTTACCGGACCACTTTTACGATTGGAGGCAACAGTGAAATCTGGACAAAACAATAAATCCTGAAAACAAAATGTATAAGCACCTAATAAGACTTAAAATCCTATAGTTGGATTACATACACATATAGCACTACACAGAGAATGTGCCAGTGGTATGGGTGGGTCGCCTTTGCCAGCAGGCAAACTGGACCAGAATATGTTTTCCCAGTCTGGGTCTTCAAAGACATATGGGAGCACTCTAGTCAGCAGTCGAGAGCAGTTTAAGACTGTTAGATGGAACCGAAAAATAACAAAATAGGGTAAACAAACAACAATATTGAAACCAAATTGAGGTGAAAGTAAGTATTCACCTGTATTTTGATCCTGTTGTGTACGACAGCTGTTTTCCACAGCCTTGACAAACTTCTCGACCGCTTTATAGCAAAGCGTGGCCAAGTTAGCTGGTACATCCTCCCTTAGTAGCCGGATCTCGGTAGCTGGCACAAGAGTGAACACGTCCTGCACGTTAGTTACGGTCTCTGACCAGAACTGATCCCAGAAATCGTTGTCTTCAGCGCTAATGGTCTGTGTGCGAAAATGGATGTGCAGTTAAAAATAAACATCCACTCAAATAACGGTTTACGCTTACCTGCGTCTTGGACGTCAGCTGAACAACGGCTTTTCGGAACACCAGTTTTGTATCAGCGTTTCCCATTTCCGGGTTTTTTGTATCCGCTTTAAGTGGTGGATTCTGTGTAGGCGGTGGTTGTCTCAAGGAATGCGGTTCACAAAGGTTCAGCCAATTTCAATATCGCAGGCACTATGTCGAAGGACGTGGGAATGAAAACATTTTTATAACAGTAGCTAATATGTTGTTATTATTTAATATTCCATCATTTCCATCCGAATTCGGTGTTTGCCGTTCGTCTTGTTCCGATTTCGGTTATCTAAGACGACGACGACGACAACAACAATAATAATAATAATGATAATTGATAACGTGGCTGCTGCGATAAGGCTTATCGGCAATTGACGGAAAAATGTATTCATCTTTCTTTATTTATCTCTTGAATAATCTGTATGATGTATGAATAACCATTAACCACAGAACGACTCAACGACAGAACATAGTACAAACTTCAAAAGTTGTTCACTAAGACCATAGAGTTTCTAAGTTTCTATGACTTAGACTTACAAAAGATTTTTTTATAGGTTTTTTATTAAAAATCTTATTGCTCAATCCTACTCAACCACAATCACATTGTTCCGCGGTGTCCCATTAAAAAAAAATTAGAAGAGGTAAAGGGGTACACTAAAATATTTACAAAATAGAAGTGRTACTCTGTCTAAATAAATCTGTGCCCTAAACATAAAGATTCTACAGTTCAGATTATTTGAAATKTTTGTCTTATCCCCACTAATTAAAACAGGAGTTTTATTAGAGGACTAAGTGCTTGACATACAGAACTAGGTTTATAGACTGTTGCAAGAATATCTTTGAGAATATCGATTCACAATTTCATCTCAATGGGACTCCTTCAGTCCACCATTTACTATGGACACTGGACAGACACCAGCAAGCTCACCATAGAAGTACTTACCACTTCAATACTTCAAATAACTAAATTGATAGTTGATACCTTTAAACGCTGACAAGGCCAACCAACTTAGATGTGGATAAATATTGTATTCATCTTAATTTATCAATATCTTCATTTTATTTGTGTAAACATGCTATTTATACTGTTCATAAACTTAATGAACTTTTTTGATTTTGTATGTTTCTTACTTTCTCATCCATTATTTAACCTACAGGCTTTTACACTCTGTTTTACCCCTGACCCAGGACTAAAATTAACTTATCCTTTATATACCTATCTATTTTTGGCTTATATGAAGTTATTATGTTAATTTAACTTGGCTTTATCTTAAAATTTAGACTATACAATTATGTTTCTGTATCTGCTCAAATGGTGTAGATGGTATATTAAATGATATTATGCATCAATTATAACTTAATAAGCCTCAATTATTTACGCTAAATCCCATAGTTTAGAGGATATTTTTGTATCGGTCATGTTTCACTCTTTAAATAGAACCTAATAATTATTTCAAGACAACTCAACACACCTGATGATTATCCGCAGTGACCAATACTATATTTGGTCTTGTAAAAATGTCAAATTCATTTTCTCCGGTTAGAAATCACTTATAATAGAAACATCAAAATAAATAGGTATGGATAATTCATGTGTACATAAATTATAAGTTAAATTAAAAAAAATAAATATTAATTTACAGAGTTATAAGTACTTAATGCTAATACAAATTGTATTTTTTATAGTATAGTATATTTTAAATGTTGAGAAGAACTTAAATACAAATCATTATTTAAATTTTTTTTAAAGCACGAATTAAATATATAAGAGTATGTAATATCTCTATTTCGTCCAACTAACTTTAGGAATGTCGAAATGTTCAGTTAGGTTGTCTAAATGGCGATTAAATTCTTCGACTCTTTGTTTGTGAGTTGTTGATGCAATTTTCAAAATTTTCTCTTTTTGCTAAAATCAATCAAAAAATATAAAATAAATTAGGTGGATACTTTTTGCTTCWTTATAAGACAATAATTTAATATTGAAAAATATTTTACCAATTTTTCCTGTTGTTTCATGAAGGCCAATTCAGCTTTAGTAGGAGGTACATGGTATTCCTTGGTTACTTTTTCTTGTTCTAATCCTTTATTCAACTTTTCTGCTGTTTTATCTTTATTTTTACACTTCTTCTTTTTTCTGTAAAAATTTAAAAATCATCTGTTTATAAAATAACTTAAGTAAATTAAATTTGTTTCAAGTATAAAACTAATACTGTGTCATATTTCACCATTGATTTTATAAGAAAACATTTATAATAAGTAYATAATTAAAAAGGGTAAATAGCATATTATTATATGATCGAATACAAAGGTAAAGAGGTTATACGATTTATACAAAGGTGATTAGGAAAGTAAGGCTAACTTATTATTATTATTATTTTCTATTATTATAAAGTGTTACTGACATACAGGGTCATCAAACTTATAACTTATTATGTATAACACATCATATTATGTACTTTGTGGAAAAATTGTAAAYTCTTCAATATACTTAAAATATCACTATTCCCGCGAATACTAAATTCTCCACTGAAAATTTGGGTGATAAAAATCACTACGTCACAGTGGCGTTTCTAGA